CTTTTGAAGCTATGCAACTTCGTGGCATGTCCAAAAGCTTCATGACTAAACCCACTCAATAAATGAAAACATACAGACATACAGGCGTGCAGAAACACAAATGGAAATACATGGAAAGCCAAGTGAAACCTCAAACTGATACAGAGACAGGTAGACAGCACTGTTCAAGTATGCTTACTTGTATAGTGCACGTTAGCTTGGTGTCGGCATGGATTTGCATGATTACGTGTTTCATGTGTGGCCGACTATCTATTCCTCTATATGCCGGAAGGTTGAAGGCTTCGCGACTATTTATGTCGGCACTTTCGCTCCCATTTCAACCAGACCGTTGAGCGCCTATCTGGGGGCTGTGGTCTTGAGTGGTCTTGAATACAACTAGCCAGATGTGCGACTGCATGCATACATCTATATATATATATATATATTTATTTATTTATTTTTATATTTATACTTATATACATACATACATACATACATACATACATACACACATGCATACATGCATATCTGCATACATGCATATATGTGCATATGTGTATATGTAGACACGTAGGAGCATGCATGAGCATATGATGCGATCTCACACGTGCGCACATGTGTAGATGTGCAATGACCTATAGATGTAAACCTTTCATGCATGTGGATTTGGGTATCCACATGCATATTCGACACACGTACACACGTGTCGACTCCGCACCAACAAACATGACGTTCCCGAACTCCTCAAAAGGCTGTTCCCTGTAGGCGAAGTCGAGGGCCTCTCGGAGCCTCCAACTTTGCAGCCGCATGGACTCGGCATCCGTGATTTGAGGGCCTGGTCAGAGTGCAGGCAGAGTCCAGACTGTCTCTGCATGTATGTGTACGCATGTGTGCACATACATAGGTATATGTGTGCATATAAGTATACATGTGTATATGTATATTGTATACACACACGAGCGTGCATGTGGTTACATGCGAGTATAAGCCTGCATGCATGTTTTTCTTGATGCTTATTGCATTGCATCACATGAGGCAACTAATTATCGCGCGGTACTGCGCTATAGTACAGTAGCGAAACACCACATGGTACAGTGGACTTACGTTCTCCTATACGATTTCGTACGGTACGTTATATGACATTCTGCCAAATTCCAAGGAAAGTTCGACTACATACAAGCACACAGTACCCGGTACGACGTTGTGATACCTACGTTCCATCGAATGCGAACATGCTAACATTTCATTCCAATTCTTTGCATCCGACTATATTCTATCACAGTCGGCTACACTATTTCGGTCGCCTTAGGTTTCAATGCAGAGAGCTACATTGCATCAGGTGCATGTCATGACATAAAACTACGTCAACTTGCAATGTCTTGGGCTATACCACCTCTTCTTACATTTGATTTCATTGCCGCGTTACCCATTCCACGTCCCATCTGTCACACAATTCAAGTGATGTTTTCTCACTAATTCATGCTAGATCAGCTCCAGTGTACCGCAGACTCCACAATGTTTGTACAACTTACCTGTCACGTTGCATTCAGTAGTCAAAGTTGGCTGGTCCACGTTTATCTTGCAATAGGCTGGATAGAAATCACTCCTATCCTCTGCTGTCTTATTGAGTACGTCATTGCCATCACTTTTGTGGATAGTCATATTGGGCTCCTCGTTCGTGCTCTTCAGAATCTATACTGTACAACACATGCTGCGCCATCCGGCGTTCTGCTACTGCTCCGTGAGGGTGACTGCAAGCGGCCTGTGTCTGAAGGATCGGGGAGCACCGCAGAGAACGACTTCACCGAAGTGGTGCCAAAGGCCTGTCGGCCCCAACCACCGAAAATGCTCCCTGGAGGAGCCTACCGGTCTACATGATAACAGTCAGAAGAACGATGAGCTCTTGCTTGCACAAGCATCCTGCAACTGTCGCGTAACCAGGGAGGTTAACTCTTCATCTGAGACATTCGGTGCTTCGGGATGCACCCTCCAGCCCAAGCGTGCCAACACCCAGCTCAGAATATCTTCAATGACCTCTGCCACGAACAGGCTTCCCAGCGCCAGCCCTATGCCGTCCTTACCCGGCGGCAGTATGGGATGCCAGTTCAAGAGACGAGTCAGGGCAATAGCACCTACAGCGAAGAATCGCGTATATCCCATGCAATATTTCACCTCCTGCAAGAGCAAGCTGCACTGAGTCGGAGTTCGACGGCCACATGTCAAAATGGCAAGCATTCGATCGATGCCTCCCACCCTTGCTATGATGTTCCACAGCATGCCGCATGAGATTGGAAGTATGAAGTCAAATTCTGTGGTGGATTCGTGGGCTATGTCCACGACAATCAACTTCAAACGAGCCCCTTCGGCCATTGCATGGGCAAGAGCGACACCCAGAGAGACGGTGATGCCCTGGTTTGAATGAACATACCTTAGATCAGATTAGACACGAACACTTCCACGGTGTCTCAGAACTGAGGCCCAACCCTGCGAAGACGACAACATCAAACGGCATGGCATACGAGTTAATGCCGGAGAGATGCAGCTCACGAACAGGTTTGTTGGTTACAAACTGCTGTGAGAAAACTCGGGCAATGATTGCCGTCGCGACCAGTTCATAAATGCTAAGCAGGATCGGCATGAAGATACCTGCTCGGGTGAAGGAAACCTTAACGCCTTGTTCTTTGGCGGCTGCTTCAGGCTGCATGTTGTGCTCTGACCTTGAAGCCTCAATTGAGACAGGGGCCTAGCCATGCTCCCACCACGCGTTTGGCCAAACTGTAGGCCGTGGTCCCGAGGAAGAAACCAACGAGAATGAAGCCGAAGGTAGCAGGACCTGTCTGGATTTCGGGGTGACTCTTGGAGTCCCACAGGATAAACCAGAAAAAGAGGCCTGAACAGTGAAGCATGCAGACGAAGCGGCCCATTCCGGCCGCGTAAGACTTAACGGCAGGGTCGAGCTGCGGGGCGAAGAGAGCACCAATGATCTCGCTCAACACGATCACGACAACATGGCCGACGCCATATATCAGGATGAAGCCGCAATGCCTGGAAGAAGTCCAGCTACCCTAATCAAATTGAAGCTACCATCACGTCATAGCAGGACACTGTTAAGCTGTCTCGTGTGCAAACGGAGAAGCTGGTAGGGATCCTCCATGCGAATGCAGATGCCGAGCACATAGATGGACAGTCCCACTCCGTGGCCAAAACAACTGGCTAAGAAGCCTCTCAAGACACCTTGACCATGTTTCTGCGCAAAGTCAGACACGAGCACTGGGCCAAGAGCAGTCTTGCAACATACAAGGCTCGTGTTTCCCGGTGCATGTCCAAAGACGGCAAAGCCACGTATGTTGGAGATGCCGATGATATGAACAGGCAGAAAGTATATGCAAAACCAACCAAAACACCTGAAACAGGCAACGAACCAATCGGTTCTGGGAACACCAGGGATGCCGGCCTCTGCGACACTCCAAGCCATGAGCCCGGCAACCATGAAGAGGGATGCAAAGAAGGAAGCCGCAAGGGTCTTGTACATGCCAGGCTTGCAGAGCACGACATCCCCGTATGGAGCCGATCCGGGCAAATCGAAAGAGTTCAAGGAGCCCTTTCGCGTGACCGCGCCAGAGACAGGGAGACTTCCCTGTCTTCTCTGTGGCTTTAGCTGATCCGGGCTTCCCAACGGCGGCGTAGGCAGTGGTGCTGGAGGCGCAGATGGCTCAGCAGACATCTGGCCATAAGACCCCATCTTAGCGGGTTCTTACATTTCCTCTGGACAGCTGCTCTTCCTCACAGAGAGCGAGGCCACATGAGCATCTACGAGCTTGATCTAGTTTGATGGCCACAGATTCGCCATGCTTGTGTAGTCCCTGTTTTGCAAGATGCAGGCAGAAGTGTTGGTGCTCCTTATTTCCAGCGCAGACCCGTTTAAAGCGTTCTTCTCATCTTTTCTGGCCTGCTCCTCTGTGGGAGTGTCAGCGACGAGCTTGTCGAACTCTTTCATCATAGCACCTATTCAGGGGAGTTTGAAGACACAAGGATCCCCTCACAACGACGCGAACGCCTGGAGTCAAGAAGTCAATGCCTATGCCCTATGCCAACAAGGTATCCAGCCCGCATGCACACACATACTCACACACACACACACAAACACACACACACGCAAGCTCACGCTAACCCAGACTCTCACGCGCGGAATCTCTTTCGGAGGCCTCCAGGTCAGCATCTCGCCACACAATCCAGGTGCTGAAATCCATGCTACCAACCAGAGCATGGCTCCCAACGGCCCTCTCCAACGACCCACTCAACCCTTTGCATCCCTTTGCTACCGGAGCACGCATTCCGGGACTAAAGCACCCTGAAAAGGCTTTCGAACTGCGAGGCACCAGAACTCGACAACTCGGCTTCCTTCCGTCGAACAGGAGTGCTCAAACCACTTCAGCTCGCCGGCTGGTCAGCCAGATGCAAAAAGACTGGAAAGTGGCCGAACACAAAAGGTGCAGCCAAGGGCGCTGTGGACGCTGTCGGCATCTTGTCTGAAGACTTCCAGACAGGCATGCTCCACTGCGAAGGACTTCCAGTGAAAGGCCAGCTCACTCCTGAAAGCGTGCAGAAGGATAAAGGTTGGGGAGCGATCAGCGCAGAGTCATGGAGAGCAGCTTGGGCTTGGGGGTCTGTAAGTTCTCAAGGCCGGCTCTTCTCTCCGATGGGCTTTTCACAGCCAAGCTTCTTGTTGATCTCTTCGTAGAAGGGCTCGGAGTGGCTCTTTGTAGCCCTGCGCTGATATCGATGATTGCTGCTTGAAGAGCGCATGGAACAGTTGCCGACACGAAGACATGGACTTGCCTGCGGACATTAGGCGGTCCTGCCATGCAACCCAAGAACACACTGGTCAATGGCGCCAATAAACCTCAAGTGCTCTGAAAGTCCTCGACCCTTCATCACCACAGGCTTCAACATCCTCTCAAGATTTGCTCTAAACCCAAGCCCGCAGGCTTCGTAGTCTTGTTCGACCTCGCCTGAGCTCAGCCGTGCCGTCTGGCAGCGCTGCCACCTTCGAGCGGCAGGGTGGCAGTCGCAGATTTCCGGGCGTTTTCTCGACTCTGGGGGCTGCGGAAGCTTGAGGACTTGGGCTCTTGGGCACGAGGCTTCGATTATTTACTTCAAGTCTTGCTATGTCGTGCCACGGCAGCCAAACCACAGCTATGAGGTTACAGTGTATCAACCCCACGAAACTTCTGGCAGGAGGGCTTACAAGTATGCTCTTCTTTTCTGCGCTTACCAAAGCTGCTGCCTCGAGCTTGAGCCTTTTGAAAAGAGTCGCCAGGCGCTTCATACCACAGGTCGTCTTTGCCTTGCCACAAGGCACGAAGCATACGCTCGCGACAGCTGGAACTGTTGACGAAATACAAGCCTGACCGATTACACAAGATCCTGTTATAAACTTCCTTGCCCATGCTCAGGATGCTGATGCTTCCAGCTGATAGAACACTTACTTGTAGCTTTTCTTTTGTTAGATGAAACTTTTCCGTTTTTTCAGTAGAATCACTTAGTTTTTACTTTTTCTTGGCTCCGAACACAGCAAATATCTGCAGGGGGTTGCAAAACAGGCATTGTAATTGTAACTTTTTTCTTTCAGATGCAACATTTCCTTTTTTTCAGTCCGAAAGGTTTTCGCCTTCGGAATTCACTCTTTTGTGTTGTCGTCTTGGGTATTCACTCCTTAGGCCTTTCGTCTTGGGTTGAAGCTTCCTGCTGGATTCACTCTGCAGGGCTTTCGCCTATTCACTCTTTTGGGTTTTCGTCTTGGGATAAAGTTTCTTGCTGGATTGCAGGAAACGGTATTTTTCCTCTTCTGTCAAAAATTCGGGTTTTCGTCTTCGGGAAAAGGTTCTTGCTGGATTCACTCCTTAGGGTTTTCGTCTTGGGTCACGGGTTCCTGCTGAATTCACTCCTTAGAGTTTTCGTCTTGGGAATTCACTCTTTAACGTTTTCGTTTTGGGTATTCACTCCTTAAGGCTTTCGTCTTGGGTAAAACCTGCTGAGTTGACTCCTTAGGGTTGTCGTCTTCGGTCAAGGGTTCCTACTGAATTCACTCCTTAGGCTTTTTGTCTTTGGGTCACTCCTTAGGGTGTTCGTCTTCGGGAAAAGGCTCCTGCTGGATTCACTCCTTGGGGTTTTCGTGTTGGGCATTCACTCCTTAGTGTTTTCGTCTTGGGTTAAAGTTTCCTGCTGGATTCACCCCTTTTTGTTTTCGTCTTCGGGAAAAGGTTCCTGCTGGATTCTCTCCTTAGGGTTTTTGTCTTGGGAATTCACTCCTTACGGTGTTCGTCTTGGGTATTCACTTTTTAGGGTTTTCGTCTTGGGCCACGCGCGCGCCGGGTCGGTTGGGGCTAAGTGCGGTAGGTGGTGTAGTGGGGGTAGGTGGGGTAGGCGGGGCAGGTTGGGTAGTGTGGATAGGCGGGGCAGGTGGGCTAGGGGTAGGTGGGGTCAGTAGGAAAAAGGAAGAAAAGTTACATCTTGGAGAAAAAACTTACATCTAAGAAAATAAGAACGTTACAACTAAGCCTGCTACCCTTCCAGCTCGAGTTGAAACTAGCTGATCACTGCGGGCACTGCACTCCTATCCCATGTGTGCGAGTGCCTCTGTCAACTTGCATTTTGACGGCATGCTTACGTTGCATGCTGCTTGCATATCCAGGGTGCATCGCCGAGGTGCTCTACGAACTCCTGACTTATCAGCTCGACTACATGACCACACGTTTCAGCTTCACACCGAAGAAAGCTCCATGCTCCAAGACAAAGCAGGAAGGCCGAGAGTCTTCCGATGCAAGGATCTTCCTGCAGGACTCCCACACATGAGGGGCGACGACAAAGTTGCTTCACTGGCCTGAGGTCGTCGACCTCGCTCGTCTTGGGCAGCGCCGACTGCACCACATGTTCGCAGACCGTACCTCAGGCAATGAATCAACCCGGCTGTTCCTCATGCGGAACCATCAGGACGCCTTTCATAAAGACCCTAGACTCTTTCGTCACGATGGTGCAATGATACATTTCAAGCGCGGTCTGGCTGGCGCTATGCCCCTATGTTCAAGCCATTTCAGGCCCCACTGCAGCCAAAGGACATGCAATGAACTTGCCCGCCCGTTTGCCCGCAGAGATGCGCTCCACGGTGCGCTCGCCGATGGAGTCACTGGGCCAGGGCTCCTGTTGCAGAACACCCTTCGAAACATCCAAGAGCTCTGAGTCGCAGAACTCACGAGACATTCGAGCGTGCATGACAGCACAACTCCATCAGCAAGAGACCTTGCGTGGGGAGTGCTGGATGATGAACTCCATGCGAAACCATGCAACTCTTTACAGGCTGACACAATGCGAAGCTTCCAAGGATTCGCGAGAGACGGCGCCTCAAGACTCTGCAAAGAAAGGCTAAACTTCGGCTAGACGAAGCCTGGCAGCTCACCAGGCACAGTCCCGAAAGCAGGAGGACGACTCGCATGGCTCAACGAGCGCACAGGGGCCCCTTCGACTGCTCTATCACTAAGTCTTCGCAGTATTCCACATGCTTGCTCAAAGCATCTTCAGGGCTGAGAGGTAATATAGTAAGAGCTCTAGACTCCACTATGTCGGGTGCAGCTCTTGGCATGAGGCAACGGAATGTCGTGCTGGCGATGGTGAAGGTGCCTAGAAGTGTGTGCCCGTTAGCTCATTGTCTGTTCCTAAGGCTTCCCGAGTCTGGTGATTCCTTTGACGGTGTGGATGAAGAAGCTGCGGTGGGAGCAGAAGTCTGAGCTTCGCACTTCACAGCAAGCATCTCTGCGTTTATGAAAACCGACACTAAATCACTGCTTGACTCAACTATGAGATCCTCGAAAAACGGTGTAGACAAAGCCGAGTGGGCCGGCCACATGCTGCTGAGATTGACCTGACCCTGGCCAGGAAAAGCAGAGGTATGTCCGCCCACCTCCATGGACTCACGCATGATCAGCAGCTCAGCTTTCCGTATCCTCACCGAAGCAGCAAGGCCCCATTGCCCTCTCTTCGGTCAAAGGGGATTCTCGCCCGCAGACGCAAGGTGCCATTCCTGAACCGGCCCTGGGGGTCTCGGGGGCGTAGATGGGCTTGAAAAGTCGACCGATATCTACGAAGCCCGAAACCGTCTAGTTTAGGGTTTAGGGGTCTAGGGGTTTAGGGTCTAGGGTTTAGGGGTTTAGGGGTTTAGGGGTTTAAGGGTTTAGGGCCTACATCAAGCCTGTCCTTCTCAAAAGCGAGCTCTGGAGTGGCAGCTTTGGCCGACGCTCGGGCACCGGATGTTTGGCCTGGCAGAAACCGAAGTGCAGCAAGTCGAATCGCACGTCAAGCGGAAGTGCGCATGCCCCGATAAAGAACAACAACCTGGACTTGTATCTGTAGTATTCTGTAGCAGCATGAACTACCGCACCCCGTTGCTACTGGATGAGAACTCAAGATATGAAGGGCCCGTGACAAATTTGCCTGCAAGGTTTGCGTCATCGGATTCGACGGAGTCACAGCATCTCTGCTGGAGGGCACCTCGAACAGACCAAAGCTTTAAGCAGAAAGGGAGACATCGGAAGCGGCTCCTAAACTTACCGACTCTGCAACTTTCGACGCACCAGCATGGGAGGAGACGAGGGCTCTGAGTTTGACGCTCTTCCCTGTAAGCCCCGCGCAACGAAGAATGGGTCCGACCTTGGCAGCGTTTTGCAACACGAGCAAGCGTGTTGCTGCAAAATTGGTTATTTCACGGTAATGACTCGTACTTACGAGCAAGACCTCTTCCACGTCTCGCCGCAAAACAACAACCTGTGTCACAATTCTGCAGACACCAGAGGACTCAGCGAAATGCATGCCGCAACCAGAGAACAAGACGCCTGCTTCCCTGACTCCCTACACTCTCGGGGCATCTCCGGAGAGGCGGAGTCGGAAAACCCAAGACGAAGCCCCTTCGGAAGGCCGAGGAGCTTCGGGGAGAAGTTCAGGAGCTCCCCGAGGCTACTCTCGGCGAGCCAGCGGGTGTCGTCCTCAGGGCCACGAGGCTCAGGGGCTCAAAGGACTTAAGCAAATTCGAGCCTTGAGACTTCGGAGCACTCTTCTACTAAATCGTTTACGATCTCGAGACACCCCATTCCTGCATTTTGGTACTGCAAACACTATCTTGATAGCATCTCGAACATAGGCAAGTACTTGCAGCAACGAGTCCTAGTGTCAAGACTTCTGTGGCCAAAGTTATCGACATTCACGTCTCCAGGCGAAGGCCTTCATTGCCACGAGATACTGCGGCTCAACCACCACGCCTCGAGACTTGGCTGGCATTCTACCGAAGGTGTAGCAGACCCGAACAGCCACCGGGCACCGCAAGATGCACATCTGCGACTTTCAGTAGTCAGTAGCCCCTAGGAGCCTGTTCATCTAAAGGAAACCGGGCTTGCAACAAGCAGCGACTACGCACCATGTTTTTCCAGGTCGCTGCCGCTTCATTAGCTTTGAATGGATAGGCAAAAGGTGTGCATACCACCATCTTACGCCCTCGCTGACCTACTTAACAGAGTTCACCGACCCTGGCCGAACAGCCAGGGCAGGAACCGTAGACTCACACTTTGGTGAGGTGGGCACCACGCATCACATGACTGGACTCTCCAAACTTTGGGAGACTCCTGCTGACGCTAGCAGCTTTTGGACCCAGCAGCTCCCAGACCCTCAGCGACGGGCGCTTGAGCCCCATGTCGAAGCTCCAAACACACCGGGACACTTGGCAGCCAATCAGGTGTAGTGCGGGTCGCTCATCTCTGAAGCCTCCATGGAAAGCAGGTGCAAGCAAACTCGACACCCGCAGAACCTGCCAAGTTTGCTCGCTACGTGATGTCAAGCTCACCAGCAAAGCAGAGGTGCAGCGGCAGGCCTTGCTTTCGCCCAACTTATTCAAAGCCGTTACCTGGGCAGTGAGGCGTGAACCCCAACTACGGGCCTGGACAGAAACCCATGCTGTTTCTACAGCTCAGCAGATGCTCTGAAGCCTTGACTGCAAGCCACATCGTTGAAATTTCTGCCGGGACTTCCGTGAGCAAGCAAATCAATGAAGCCTTGTCTTTCGCATCCCTAGCTCGGCCCCTGTCGAAAATGAGCTACAACGAAAATTGTCGGCCACCCCAGGCCCGCATAGAAAGGGAAACATCTACGATCAGGCCCTCGCCTGGAAGCGGTATTCACAGGCGCCGAGCTCCAAAGGCCCTACCCAGGCGTTGTACATGGAGGCATCCTCTTGGCCTGGGAGGCAGAGGCAGGCCAAGAATTCTTCTTCATGCGGTCGCCGAATCAAGACGGAGATCCCATCGAAGGAAGGAAACACTTCTCGCAGCACTGCATTGCACAGGGAGTCCAGAGAGCTTAAGGGTTAAAACGGCCGGGTCGAGGACTCGCAGTGTTACGAGTCCGGTAGCCATGCACAACGTGGGTTCAAAAAGCAGGCTGGCCACCGGTTGCTGCTCCCACTGAGCCCATCCTTAGCGGCTTCGGCGGGGCATGGTTTCAGACGCAGTCTTTTGAAGACCTTGAGCTTGATGGCAATACAGTCAGGCATCTCCACCCAGCTCGCAGCTGCTTCTCCTGGTCCGAAGGGGTTCCTCGGCTGGTCTCGGAGTCCGAAGACTGCAGAGATGCGGCTTCACTGCGGATATTGCCATGGACGACGAAAGCATGACGGAGGAGGGAGCACGAAAGGTCGCAAGACTTCAGCTACATGCCTTGAGTGCCAGGGGGGGCTCCAGCGAGAGGCTCCAAGGATCTTCCGCATCCGGATCCTGTCGGGGCGTAGGCCAGTAAACCAGAGACTTCTCACATCTTCAACACTCTGCCAAGTCCACGCACTCCCCTCTTCGGCCCCCGGGGTCCTGTAAGCGGTGATCGGCATCCTTAGCTGAGCTCCCGCAAGATTCACCTCAAAAGCCTTCGGGCGTTGCGTACGTGACGCCTTGAAGGCCCATGGCAAGAAACAGGTTGTGTGAGAAACGATGCTGGTCCCAGCGTCCCACCATCCCCACGAGGAGGTGTCCAGGCGACGTTGAGGCATCCGTCCCGTGCCTGCACACCAATACTTGACACATTGGGGTCCTTTGATTCTTTATCCATGTACATATCGGCATAGACATTCATACATCTTCATGTAGACATCGACGTTTGTGCGTGTGTGTGTGTGTGTGTGTGTGTGTTTGCGTGTCTTTGTGCATGTGGGCGCATGTCCGCGAGTGCCAGTATGTCTGTCTTGTGATAGACAGATGGCATGAGAGGTCAAACACGGGGGCGGGGTAGAATCACACATAGAATTCTGCGCATTTGCAATTATCTATACAGATATGTGGATGTGTATGTATACATATTCATTTGCGTTTCTGTTTATTGTTGTAGTTCTTCATTTCATTATGTGATATTTACGTATTTAGCTGCTTTCTTAGTTACTTAATGCCGTACCGGTTTTCATTGCTTAATCCTTTTGTTCTGCTTGCTTGATATTTATTGGGTTTCACTCATTTGTTTTCTGCCAGAGAGATATCAGCAGAGGCAAACTCTTGCTTTGGTTTTTTGTCATGCAAATGCATGCTATGTACATACGCACACAGATATGAATGCATGCAGGCATGCAGGCAGTCAGGCAGGCTCATGCACGTATGCGCGTGTATATTTTGCATGCTTGCCTATGCCAACACAGATGCGATCATCCATGGATTCCTTGTCCATAAGGAATGATTCATAGCTAGTGGACAGAAAAGATAGACAGACAGGCAACTCGAGAGATAGATAAGAGTGCATGTGGCTCCTCGCAGAACGGATAACAAAAAAGCCCTCTCCTCCTCGATCCAGGGCTTGCTCGGTGGATCCGGAGGAATCGGTGCCGTCACGATCCTCACTGGGATTCGCCGTGCTTCCGGAATCAGATGCTGCGACATCCGAGACACCAAAACTAGCAATTGGCACATGGAGATTCAACCCTAAACCCTAAACCCCTAAACCGCTAAACTTTACAACAAGGCGCTCAAACTCCCCAGCGTCTCCGGCGCCGACTTTGTTCACAGCACGCACATCCAGGAGATACGCCGTATTGCCCCTGAGGTTCGCAACGACGTACCTCGCTTGCAGCGGGCTCAACTGATGCTTCACACTCGCCTGGCAACAGCAACCCCAGTGCCTCTATCAAAGTCTCACCTCCCGCTCCCGATGTCCGTGGTTGCATGTGTGTGGCAGCGAGTAGCTACGCCTTGTGACTGTTGTGCACTGGCCAGGTCACAATGGGTTCAGCGATTTCGTGCATTCGCAGAGCGTGTACCACTCCGGCAGTTCGTTCGGCTGCGGGTCCAGCAGTATGGAGATCTTGTATCCGATGACGGGTGCTCCGTGATCGTTCCTGACACAAGCAGCACACTGCACCTGCCGAAACAAGCCGAAACTACGAATTCCAAGACCAAACCTGTAGCAAGAAAAGAAAGGGATGCTGAACCACTGCACAGAACTTTGGAGGCGACCACTTGACTGTCACCTCAGTCTGCTTCACGTCCGCCATCGCCAGGTCGGTTACAGCAGCTGGGGTGGTGCAGACGTGGTACCTCAAAGACCAAAGGAGCACTAAGCTTGCTAGGAAGCCCGGGAAAAAGGACAACAAAACTCTGCGAAACTGACTCAATTTCAAGTTCGCGGCTCTACACAACTATCCCGCAAGCGAGACGAGACTTTCTGACTTTGCGAATGCAGAACGATGCTGGTCCCTCCCGCGGCGGCTACCAAGCCACTATGCTCGGTCCATATCGGCTCAGAGAGCGAGACGAGAGAGAGAGAGAGAGAGAAAGAAAGTGAGTTAGGAAAGCAATAACTAACTCAACAAAGACTACCTCAACAGACAACGCATCCGACTGAAAATGCTGGAGCACAAGAAAGTGGTAAACAGCTGTCAGCACACGACCCAGGTGGCCAAGCACTTGCATCCACGTCAAGACAGGGTGCTTCAGTCTCATCTCCGCCACGCGATGGCCTTTAAAATTCGCCGGCACTGACCCGACATGTCCAGACCTAGACTCTAAAGAAGAGTGGTGTTTTCAGAGCTACGAGCACAGTATCGGGGTTGAGCATGATTTGTGGCGCCGCGGTCCTTGAAGGATGTCGAAGATGCCCCAGGTGGTAGGTCTTCTCTGAAGTTGGTACTCCTGCTAAGCGACTCCACGGAGAAGGGCTTTCGAAGTCGAGGGCTCGAGGTGAAGAGGCCCCGCGGATTCAACCCACCGGGTGAGGCAACGAGAGGCAACGATGCAACAACGAAGAGTCACAGGTTTGTGAGCAACAGGGCTTCGCATCAATGTGAGTTGTATGTTTCCTTGGGCCGACGTTGCAACAAAACACCGTCTCGCCTGCAGTGGCGCCAGCGCCCGCCTGAGCTCGAGTTGCCCGTGCTGTTTACAAGCTCCAGAATCCCTTGGGTAAAGTGACAATGCCTCGAAAACCGTCACCGCGACCATAAAGGCCAAGATTCCCAACGAGCGTGGTCACAGGAGTGGCGAGAAGCGTACCCTTCGTTGCCCACACCTTTCAGAGAGAAGCAGCCAAGCAACGTCTGTCACAGGAGAGAGGCGACGACAGAAGACCCAGAAAGCCGACCGGCACGGAAGATGACACCGGAGCGGAGAGATTGAATGGAGAAGAGCGTTTTGAAAGCTCTCAGCCGGCTTCCAGGACGTTGGCACAAAGTTTGACAGCTTCCATTTCGAGATAGTCATGTCTGCCGAGAAGATAGAGAAGGCGCATAAGCCACCAGATGATGATCCAGCTTCTCCATTCGCAACGAGAATGGCTCCTTTCTCCATGACCATCACATGAGAATTTCGCAACCGTCATGCAGAGACAGGGCTACTGTAGCTGCGGAGAGTCCTCGAACGTGACCACAGGATTCTGGCTGGGTCTTTCGTCATCGTCCCCAGCAAAAATGCCGACCTGCTTCACTTCAAACTACAAGCACAGGACCAAGCATGTTGCGCAGTCGTCATGTGGTAGCACCACAACGTCTGTGTTGCTGCGACTTATTATCTGCTGCAGGCCTGCAGACCGGGCTTGGCAGCTCTCTGCGCCTTAGATGACGATTGAAACATCTTCCCTGCACTCACCGAAACCTGCATGGAAAGGATTGACTTCTTGCATCGCATCGAACCACCCTTATGCTTGCCTGTCCAGCTGAGGCCTCCGTGTCATGCAACATACAGGGTGTCCTCATGATGTGCAACGACTGCTTCCAGGAGCGGTTTGCAAATCAAGAGGCATGTGGCTGTGTAACAGGACCGAAAGCAAAAGCACAGCTGATAGGCCTGAAGCTCGAATGTCTTTAAATTTCCTGAATTCACTTATATCCAAACCTCAGCAAGAAGCCTGCGACACGATGTAGTGACCATCCACTGTCTGCAGCGGTGCATCACGAGGGAGTGGAATGTGGTCGGGCTCCTCTCCAGGGCTTGGTGTCTAGCGGTTCATCACAAGACGTTCGTCGTGAGGTGCTCATGCCCATCGCAACCTTGCCTCGGAGCGGGGATGCAGAGAGACGAAGTACTTGAGCGACTCGAACATCCCTGTACAGCAAACGCAAGTCAACAGGAGGCACCGTTCATGCTGCAGTTTCCAGGCTTGGGAGGGGCTGGGATTTTGTGGCCTCGCGAAACCTAGTTCCTAAGCACTCCATACGGAGCACCTGGTTGAAGGTCCGGTGCGTCCGGGTGCAGCTCCAACTCCTGGAGCTCCACTTCCAGCAAGTGCGGGCGCTCCTGGAACTGTCGGAAAGTGAGTGCGTGCACGAGGTCGTGACTGCTTGGTTCGCCGCAGTGCCACAGCTCGGAGCCTCGATGGCATGCCAGGCGGGGGGCTTCTGCTGGTTCTGAGGAGGGCGGCGCGACACACCATCGCCCATGTCCTCATGTCGGCTCAGAAGTGACACAAGGACCGTCTGGCACATGTCTGATGCATTTCTGAGACCTGTCCTCGATCCGGTGGGGGATCAGTAGGTGATCCTCTTCCCCGTCTTGGGGAACCGAGTTGGGCATCACGGGCATAGACTGTGGCATCATGGGCATGGATCTGATCGACTGTGCGGCCGGTCCTAGGCTGCACCCCCAGGTTTTCATTGGCAGTGCCAAAACAGCACAGACTTAGCTGGAATCCGAATCCAGACCCTCAGTATTCCTGTATGGCATCCTGAAGCCCCTTTGACCTCCGAGTGGCTCAGCGAGACACCTGGGGCCTGCCCGGGCCGTGGCTGCAGAACCGGCACCTCGCGGCCACCAAGGACTGACTGCATGGAGGCCTTCAACATTAGTTAAATGGGACGCTTCCAACACATGGCTCGCGCAAGCCCATCAACGAATTCAGCATCGTTTAGTCCAGACACTGGCCATTGCATCCAAGTCTGCATCTTACCACCCACAAAATACCTCTATCCAAACTGCCTGCCATAGCAGCACCCCTGTCGCGCCAAACATAAACACCCACCGACGGCCAATCGTTGGGGTACTCGAGACAGGGCGGGTGCGCAAAACGCGGAAGAGAGACCCTCCTTAGCCACACGCACACCGGACGGGACTTGTTTCTACATCCAGTCTGGACCACTATAGCAGCAGCTGCAGCAGTGACTGCAGGCAATGAACGAGTCGGCAAGCATCACAAACTTTTCGGGGTTGTGTTTCTCACCCGACCGTCCCCAACACTTGCACACCAGAAATTGGCGGGCACGAACTGACCTCTCAGTTCCCAGAGCCCCAGATCCTTCCATGAGAAAGCCACGACCATAATGATGACGCCAAGGGCAACGATTGCTGTAAACAGGACGACTAAGACCACGACCACGACTCCGATAACAGCAGCGGTGGCAGCACCCGCTTGGCCACGAACTAAAAAGCATAGCACGCGGTTGCTGGGTAGCAAATGGAAACCTCCAGTTCGAACCTCCGAAACAGGTAGGAAGTCCAACGCACTTTGAAGAAGTTCAATCTCACGGACATCACTGGAAGTGACGTCGATAAGCTCAGCACCACCCTTTAGACAGAAACCATGCCGAGGTGCAGAGCTGGCTTGAAGCGTCACCGGGTTTAAGCGGCTGGGAGCGTAGCCCTGCGGATCCTTGGACGCGGGGAGGAGTCGTTAACTCGCCATCGGAACCTCTGACAAGCTCGATACTCTTGGGGGGTTCCTTACTATCCTTAAAATAGTATAATATACCTCAAACCCTATTCTAGTCATTAAGGCCCCTATACTTTCTGCGTGGGCACCAGGAAGCGAGGAGAAGGCGTGCGCGGCCGGCCTGTGCATACATGCCCCAAAGCGCAGTCCCTTCCTTGCGTGGACACGTGAGGACGTGACGGCAGATCTAGTTTACAACTTCACCTTGCAGAGCGTGTCCATGAGATGACCCTTCCTGGCAGAAGGCATCCTAGTGATAAAGTGTTCCCCTTGTCCAAAGCCAAGGCTATCCACTGCGCCTGGGCAAGTAGACCCCCCTCAATCTCTACGTCTCCCGGGACCGGCCTTCGGTTGACACGACGACGCTGGGACCGCGAGAAAGAACCTGGTCTGGGTCACGAGTCACACGTGAGCATTGCATGAGGAGGACAGCACTTTCGTCGCAATGTATCAGAAGGGATACGGTTATGGATACGGTGCACTTTGCGACCGGGGCAGCAAATGAATTAACAGGGTAGAAACAGCTGGCGTCATCACAAAAACTTCGGATGATTTCTCGAAACAATCAATGCGTTAACGGGTAACCCGCGTTTCGAGAGCCCTCCATAATTTCTATACCAGGGCTTAGACTGCAATGCACGCTCGAGTAGGTTGCGCTGCTTACTACTCTGGTTACTATCGCTGAGCATTGTCATCACTGTTATTCCTGGAGGTGCTTTGAAGCTTGTAACCTGACTCCTGCTAACGTTATCGGCAACACCAGATTCAATCTTGCACTCAGACTTGTCATTCTTGCTATTACAGTGCTGGGTTCCTCGTTGCCGGTCCAATTCCCAGTACTATTGCTTCTACTTGTTGCTGCCGTTGTTGTTCTTGCTTTGAGCAATCTTATTTTCGGCCACCCCAGCCCCCGAGCCACAGCTCCAACCTTTTTCATGCCTGGGGGCTGGTCGTGTCGATGGAACTGACCTAGGCAAAGCTCGAAAGGTGCATTCCATACAACGAACACACAGGAGGCTTAACTTGAAGTCATGGAGCATGAGCATGTTCTTCATGGTATCCGAAGCTTGCAAGTCAAAGACAAACTCGCTTGTTACGGCTTCTTTCTCGGGGTTGAATGATGCGGGCTCGCAAGTGTCAGCCTTACCAAAGGTTAGCGACACTTCCTCAGATCTTCGTCGTTCGTCATGTGCACACAAACGCTTGCACCCGCGTGAACAGAGGGGAACGTCACAAAAGCAGCCAGAACAGTTTCTGCGTTTTAGTAGTGCTGTTACTGCTAGCTGGCCTTGGCGGAGCACACGCTGTCGAAGAGCACCACATATAACTAAGTTAAGTAGTGTGGCAGACAGGCTCGTGAGCACAGCCTGTTTTCGCTGGGTGTGAACCAAAGAAGGAGAAAAACAAAACAACATCATTTCCGCCATGTGATCGTTCACATGGACAAAACATAATCGCGCAACAATGACCCTTCGGATAACAGTTGCCAGTCATCATGGTTGGATCATGGTAGCGGTACTGACTGCAGATCAGGCATTTACAGCTAAAAACGGCACACTCTGCAGAACAGGACAAGTACCGTGGCAGCAAAGTCTAGGGTGGCACAATAGTCGGTAACTCATAAAGAGGTCCACAAGCTCAGCGAGCAAAGAAGAAACGGTCGCACACAGGTTCCCCATCTTCGCAACAAGCGACAAATTAGATGGCAGCGCCGGCACGAAACCACTAGGCCTCGGTACTGAGCAACACAATGTGTCATGGAAGATCTTCGTGCCCTACCTGACAGCTACCCTCAGCTAGAACTTGGGTTCAACAGGATGGATACCTGCTGCTTGCTGTTGCTTGCTGCTCTTCGGTCACGAGCCGATGGAACTGAAGCAAAGCCCAGCGTCGTCGTGGGAGTCACCTCACCATGGCGCGGGTCCTGAAGAGAGCTGTGGCGAAGAGACGAGCTCTGCACCCCTGAGAGTTTGCTTGGGCATTTAGCGTTCCTTCTTGCGTGTCTGTGCCCCCGAATCAAATCAGATCAAGTAAGCCACTATCATCATGTCGGACAATTTTAGTAGCATATGGAGCACATTGCACTGTTGCTGCACATTCCTCGCAAGCTTCTGGAGGCAGTGAAGGCTGCTGCTGAGTTCTACATAATTCTAGTCGGGCGAGGCAGGTGTCCTCCAAGAATGCTGTCGCACGGAACAGTGCATCCACCATGCAAACGCACTCCTGAGATCCACGTTCATGTCAGAAGATGTCAGAGTCACGGCGATGAAGGTTGCATGTTGACAAGTCCACAGGCAGGCCCCATGCAGGGAAGTTCTCAGCACCTGAAGCTGAGCTGCCCGGGCGTCCAGTACACTGTTTCTGTCCTGCTGCAGGTCTGGACAACTCTGTGGCAGGCCACAAGGCTTCAATGCAGAGTGAAGCCAGCCCGAAGGAACCAGTGCCCGCAAAACCATGGCCTCATCAAAGCGGAGGAAGAGTTGGTACATGTCCGTCGGGCTCGGGGGCGGCAAGCCGTGCTGCTGGAAAACCAGCGAGATGAACTCCTGCAGGCGATAATGAATCCGAGCGCACCTTTATGCAGCATCATGCAACAGTCGACCGATCCTTACACATGGATATTGGTTAAGCACTGCACTTGCAAAATGATAACCATTCAAGCACGATTCATAGGCATAGTCTTGGGAGACGTCGCCCCTCAAGTGGCGATGCTTTCGTAGCAAAAGAAAGTCAAAGCAGTGTCCAGGACAGGGGGAGTCTGCTGCTGCTTGGGTGGATGGCAAGTCAGGAAGCAAAGTCTGCAAATCTCTCAGACGCCATCCTGGATCTCACCATTTGCCCATTGCAGATTGCCCGATGCGCTTCTGTCGCAGGCACGGTAGATTTCTAAAGTGTTCCTCAGATATTGCAAGGCTGACATCCAGTGAAGCAAATCAGCACAAAGTCTCTCTTTTGGGCCCTGCACCTGCCCTCAAGCGAGTGTTTCAGGGACCGTCAACTAGCCCGGTTCGTGCTTGCTTGCATCTCCAAGGAACCTCAGAATATCACCTGGGTGGGGATCGAGTCAATTTCCCAGATTCAACATCGACAGCAACTTGCCAAGGTCAAGCGAACATCGAGTGCCCACGCAATGTCGGCACCCTTCTCGTCTTGACACAACTGCTTCTTTCAATCATTGCGGCCCTGTCGCCGCTCTCGATCTGCTGCGCAAGATGCCTCCGCTGCACGCCAGAGCTGAGGCCGACGGAGGTGGAAAGCTCCTATAGGGCTGCGACGGCTTCTGACGGCTTCTATGGCTTGCATGACTCTTGAAGCTTGAAGACCGTTGCTTTCAGATTCAGTAATACAGCCATGCTTCCAAAATTGCGCTTTTCGCGATCACTGAAAACACCATCCCTAGGCGAGGGCCCAGATGGCATACTCTGCTCCTGAACATTGACATTGCAGCCTGCTGGATAAGAAATCTGCGCTGTCATAGCTGACGGGCGCGGGCAGCTGGCCACATAGCGCTCCTTGGAAGCAGTCTTCAAATTAGGAAGAAGTCATGTTTGCAGTCTACACCAGGGCGGCCGAAAATCTGCTAAAGCCATGGGGGCCTGCCCCCGGAGCTGTCCACCTCGTCTCGCACAAGAAGCGTTAATGTACCACGTCAAAGAGGCAGGAACTACTGAGCTAATGCTTGTCGGTCAGCAGCCCACGGTCAAGTTCTATCATTGCTGGCCCGGTGCATGGACGGCTGAGGTTGTCTGATGCCGGCGCCTTGCTGCAGCTCATGAGCTGATGTTTTCACGTGTCGGCAAGGAAACATATCTCTGTGGCGACATGCCAGGTGTTCCTGCGGCAAATAAGCTGGCATCAGCTGGTGTTGCACTGCCTCCGGCAACAACGGCACAGTCAAGAGGCACAGAGGCTCTGGCACGGCTGGCTTGAGGATTCTGTAAAATAAGCTGCCCCCCACCATGCACTTGTGCCTGCACTGGTGTCGGCAGCAGTGACGAGCCGGCGGAGGGCCCTACCTCGCACAGGGTCGGTGCGTGAGTTCAAAGATCGGTGTAGACAGGCTCCGATGATCAGCAAGAACACAGACGGCTACTGTATGAATCAGGGGCACTGGGACATGGCAGTCTTTTCCTTCAAGGCCTGGCTCCTGCTGGAAACACTCTCGTCGTCGCATAACCCGTCAAAGTCTTTAGAGACTCGCAAGTCAAGGGATCTGCGACGTATCTTCGATGGATCTTGTCACCAGGGAACGACAGGGGCTGCGGACGCAGCCCCGGCAGCTGGCAGGCGGCACACGGCCGGGGCAGACGGCGCGGCCGCCACAGAGATTGTTGGCTGCGCATATCGCGTAACCAGCCTCCTGTCATGCAGCCGGGCGCACTGATGCGAATAATGACCATACCGAGCACATAAAGTGACTTTAACAGTGACAGCAGTAGTAACAGCATCCATAGTCTTATACATAAAAGTATGCAGAGACATCCACATAGACATAGACAAAGACATGGACAGAAATATTTAAATATTCAAATAATATCTGTCTATGTGTACATAAGTACATGTGCATGTTCATACATATGCTGTGAAGCTATTCCCACTGCGCCTCGCCGGAAGCGGAGCCAAGCCGTTCTGAGCCTGCACAACGCACTTGGCAGGCGACCAGCTCAAAGCAACTCCTCGAAGCTGGGAGTTTCCAGCAGCAGTTCTTCCCGAGCTGCTGTAGGTGCCTGGTCCGTCGCAGGGAGCGCTTGGGCCTCCGCAAGGCGACAGGGTGCGCAGGAGGTGCTGCCGTGTTAAGTGGAGCGACGAGTTGCTCTAGCCAGGTACGATTGCAGACGCTCTGCTTGCTTCTGGAGCACACGACCTCTTGAGAAAGTAGGACGTCGATCATTCCCGCTGATGGCTGTTGTCACAGCTGCACAAGTGATCGCAACTACGTGCATTCCCAGCCACGTCCGCCGGATGTCCCGCTTGCAACCGTACACGGTGGTCGGCTGGTGAAGGTGGCACAGGCTCTGCCTGATGACGAGGGTCCCAAACTGATTGATGCCAAGTATGCAGCATCTTTGTTTGTATTTTCCCATGCTTTTGCACCCGAACACTGTTCTACTGTGTTCTTCTGCTCGGCTCTAACTGTCACTTACCTTGTGGTTTTATTGTTTTGTGATGCGGTTCTTCCTAAACATGCAATGACAGGTAGATATGCACACTAATTTTCCGGGCATGTGCACATACATACATACATACATACATACATACATACATACATACTTCTTCCGGACGCAGCGAAAGAGAATCCGCCTGGCGAGTCTGTGGCAAAAACCCTCAGGTGGGGTTTGCGGCACCTCAAGGGTGCCAGAACCGCCGCAGCACCAAGCCATTTTGGCCGCCGGTGCACTCAAACTCATAACACATGTGTCATTGCACCTTGTACAGGTAACATCATTCGTCATCGCCATCTGACCTGGGTTGCTCACTCCGAACCAACCAAATCAGATAAGAGTGGCTTGGCACCAGATCCAGTTGTGCAGCTGGGCAGTGGGTAGCAAGCACAGCACCGTCCGTGAGCCAGATGCAATCCTGTTTCTTCCACAAGCATCAATAGTGTCCAGCAGGAGCCTGTTCCCCATAATGAGTGACGATGGATGAAAGATGCGATGTTCGCAATGCAAGGAGGATGCATCAAAAAAGATTGGCGACATAATACCTTCTTGCTGGCTGGGTGCTGAGTGGATGCCACGAAGTCGGCCCAGAGCATCCTCGTATAACGGCCGATGGCACTGGATGGCATGCAAAATCGCAAGCAAGACACTGTTCATGTAGCAGGTGCTGGATGTGGGTTGGAGAGCTTAATCCGTGCAAGGTCAAGATGAAGAGAAAAATCCTGAGACTCTGACATGACCAGATGTAGTCCTGGAGGGATTCAGCCAGGCCGGAGGTCACGGGCCGGTCGCGACGAAGGCGAGCCGCCAGAAGGTGGAGGACGGAGCAATTGATCAGAGCATTGAAGTGCTTCCACAGCAGATCCCCATCCGTTCTCAACTCGATTTCCACGCTGGTCAGAGCGATATCCATTGTTAGGGGACACCAGCCATGTGAGGAGTCTCTGCTTTGGACAGACAGACAGGCACAAACCTCATTTTCCATACGCTGCTGCCGTGCGGAAGACGGTCTTGAATCATGCGCAGGGCCATGCACCACCGCCTGCTCAGGATGGCAGTGGTGCCTCCTCTGCATAGACACGGAAAAGCCAGGCAGGGACAGAGGCAGACAAGCTGTTGCCAAAGGAGCCGATAAGCATGGTGGGTCCTGTCTATGGATCCTGAAGACAGGCCTCAGCTGACAAGTGCATACAGCAGCCTGATGGGGCCATATGGAGCAATCAGCATCCTCAGCCGGCGCTCTGGTAGCCGACCTGCTGGTCCAAGCTGTAAAAACATAAGCCTGGAGAATGGCAGATAGGGCCCAGGCTTGACCGGGAAGGCAAAAAGGATTACCACACGTAGCAGTGGCCAGGCTGGTTTCAACAGCTGCCTTTTCTGTTAGACAATCCAAGGAAGACTGCAGGCTGAACCTCTGACATGTTCTTGGCAGCTGAAGATCTTGTAAGTGAATGCTTGCACAAGTAGCAGGAATGTCAGTTGCCAGCCTTCGGTTGCGGATTGCTTCGGCATCTTGTTGGCACTTTTAGGGCCCTCATTTGCCATGGCTGCAAGACGCAAAACCCAGAAGCGAAGAAGAGAAACGAACAGCCCACCACCGAAGACAAGCACCCAAGGAAGAGAAGCCCCGGGGCAAACCACTACCACCACAGCGTCGCTTTGAGCCTTATACATAGATACATAGATACGTGCATACATACATACATACATACAAACATACATACATACATACATACATACGTACATAGAGACAGACAGACAGACAGAGACAGACAGACAGACAGAGACAGACAGACAGACAGAGACAGACAGACAGACAGACAGACAAACCTACACGCCTGCACGCCTGCACGCCTTTCACACCTACACACCCTCACACACGCACAAACACACACACACACTCACAGCCACTCACGAACAAACACACACACACTCACACGGATGTATATATACATATACACATATACATGTATATATATATACATATGTATATATATATACATATGTATATATATATATACATATGTATATATATATAAACATAAATATGTATATACGTGTGTATATACATATATATTGTGACATATACTTGAGAAGAGGCCACGAAAGCTAGGGCAAAAAAAGGAACCGCAGTCGACAGAGCTCGGGCAGCAAGGATGCAAGCACGCATGTAGTGCCATGAAGCTTAAGCCTGCAAGAGGATAGGCAGGCGGGCAGGCTGGCAGACAGACCGACAGACAGACAGGGCGGGCAGCCACAGGTACTGATGGAGGCCACGGGGTATCAGCCAGGGAACCAGGGAACAACAACCTTGCCGGCAGCTGAGCTGTGCAGATGCAACGGCTTGCTTTGGATGACAACTGCTCAAGCCCGTTTGATTTCTTAAAGGAAATAAGTAAAAAAACAAATCGAGTACAGCTTCAAACATGTTTGATGCCTCTTCGTCCAAACAAAAAATCAGGCACCCACTTCTGTGGTGTTGTCCGTCGCATCTGCTCTGTCCCTTGCTTTTCCTCTCAAGCATGAACAAGGCAGAAGGTTGTTCCGGAAAGGCTGCTGCTGAAATCCATCACCGCGAATTGTGCTTTCATCTACTTGCAACAACTGAATTTACAGAGCTTTCGGATCATTTCAGCACCCATTTGCATGGTACCGAATACTGAAGTAGGAAAACTCTTTTTCTTGAATTGGCAGCTGTGGAGCTTAGCAATGCAGGAATTGTAAAGATTTGGGGTTGGCGGGACGGCTGTGCAGACTGCAGCAGAAAGTTGCAGCCAGAGGCTTTAAATTGGAGAGGTGTGTGTGTGTGACACATCATAACTTGGACACCAGACTGATACCCAAACCAATCTAGAAAGACTTGTGCCAAAGATGCAAGCCGGTGATCCTGCCCCTGGACGGACAGCGCCGGCGCAACCTCCACAGAGCCCCAGATTGATGACGTTACGGCTCAGAGCCCCAGAACTCCCTTGCTGAGGACGGTTTGTCTGGGCAGGTGACAGAAGCTGAAGCCCAGCAACCCCTGAATCCCGAATGCAAGTCTCCAGCATGAAAGAAAGTGAAACACAAAAACCATGAAGACAAGGAGAGCACGAACTCCAGCCTGCAGCGCCTCCCGCGCGGTGCTCCGCGGTGCGCGAGAGGCAGCTGGGCCGAGTGCTGGCTCAACCGGCTCAAGGGTTTCGTGTTCGGCCCCTTCTTGGATCAGTCTCTGTGACTTGCTGAGCTTCTTTGTTCTTCTAGCCTGTTCTTTATTCCTCCCTATCGATCTTTGCAGCTCTTTGCAGTGCAGCCTTGACTGCGGTTTCATAGTATTGACTTCGCCCCATGAGTAAGTCAGTATGATTCTGCAACCATCCACAAAGCAGCCTTTGGACACAACCGCACAGGCTACTACGAAAGTGCACCGTGCCTGGGCCTGCGTCCAAGTCGTCGGGCAGGCCCCAACCGTTCCGAGGCTCCGGGTCTGACCGGGGCCGGCTTTAAAGGTTTGGAGGGGCCCTTGGGGAAGTTCAGGGTTTCGGGCCGTTCAGGAGTTTAGAACCCAGGGCTCTCACTGAAGCATCTTGAGTCCTGGTTTCGGGTGTGATGTCGGGTTGGAAGTGCATGAACCAGCACGACACCAGCTGTCTGCGGGGTATCGACCGAGCTTCTGCTCCTGTTTCTGCACTCGATGGCTGTCTTCTGTCTATCCTCCGGAATAGGTAGCAGTGCATCTTGTGCGGCACTCGTTACCCGACAACCGTCACCCCAATGACGTCTCGCGTGGAGGTTTGTACGGCAACAAAACAACGCTCGCAATCAACAAGGTTGTTCGGTCGGTGCGAGGAGTGAGGTTGGGGTCTGTCTCCGCTCTCTCTCCCTCCACTCCTCCAGCTTGAGAGAGACCGCCTGCACAACATTCTTAGCATGGAAGGCGGAAGACTCCACGTGCAACTCGCTAGCCTGAAACTATGGTTCGAAGGTAGTTACAGGTGTCTTCGCTGGGGTGGTGCAGCTACTGCCCTGCCTGCAAGTCTTCGTCCTTCAGGCATGTAGTCGTCCTCTCTTGCGCTGTAATGCGAAGTGGAGGGAGGAACGCCCCAGCCTGTCACCGAGCTTGCTGAACACTGCGAACCTCATCACTTTGTTCCAAGTTACAACATGGCTACATCCCTCAACACATCTCCATCGGGTCGGATGAGTCGGTCCAGCAGGTTCGGCAAAGGATAAGGAACAAACGTTTGATGCTCTTCCCATGGCCTGAATACTGGGCCTCGTCCGACTGCACAGCCGGGAAGCTCCAACCACCACCTTGGCGATCGAGTTCGGCCTACATTTTCCGCAACTCTTTCAAGCCCAAGGGATGCGGGCGCACAACAAGGAAACGGCTCTGCACAAGGAGGGCGATCCAACTGTAACACAGACTGCCAGTGTGTTCGACTGATGCAGGCATGCACACAACTGGCAGGACCTGCCACAAGAAAGCGAATCGCCTTGCAGTGCGGGTGCACGAGATGCAGACACAGGCCACGACGTAAGAACGGTATGTGTCGAAGGGTCCGAGGTCCCGGCCCCCGCTTCGGAAGCTTTTGTTCGGGGACGTGGATGGTCCAAAGACCTCCTGGAAGTCATCCTCCTTGGGCTCCCGAAGTGCTGCTGTCGCAGCGTGCAGACTCTACACATGATTCGCAGCTTCTGGCTTCGGTTCAGGATCTGCGGAAAACCGGGTGCGAGCGACTTCGAGTAAGCACTTGGGCCTCCAGTTCCCCGATAGCCACGGGTGGCCGCAGCACGCCGGTCGGCGGCCCCGCCAACATGGCGTGGCCGCACTTCAAGAGGCTTGGAAGTGGCTGGAAGCTACTGCTCTATTGAGGGGCACATGTATGTCTGTGTGTGTGCGCTGCCTCCTACGTAAGTGCTCCAGACATTAGAAGAGACGGCAAGACCGATCAATCTTTGGGTTCGATTGAATGGCTCGGGCTTCATTGTGTGCGATAGCCCCTGCTGTTCCTGCATGGCAGAATGTTTGGCAGCGATTCATCTAGGTTGTCTGACGAGTTCAACTGCGTAAGTCTGTTTGCAGGAGACCGCGACTCTAGGTCCTACGACTTTGGGACCGGAGCTGCAGCCCGTGACTTAAGGTCCATGCAGAGCAGGATTGTTGGCCCTTGGCTCTTGCTATGTTTCCGGACTTCCAGTGCAATTCCATGGGTCGAAGCGGTGTTTGGTAGATCGTGCAAAGCTTCCTCTGCATCCGGCTGTTGAGCAGGGCAAGCACACACAGAAACTTGACCAATACAAACGATGACCAGACAACACAACACGCAACCTGAATCTTCTAAGCCTGTACCGCGACCAGCTAGCCTAGATTGTCGCCTCCCCGGCTCCCTGCAAGTCGCCACTTCTCGAAGGCTTCCACGACATCCAAAGACAAAGCCTGGCAAAGGGCTCGGCGAGACTGGGGTGCAACAGGCGCTGGAAGCAGCTCAAGACAGAACACAGGTTCTCTGCGACTCGAGCTACTGGTGCCAACATGGATCCTGCCTGTCTCACTCACCTGACGTTCCATCAATGACCACGAGACAATGCCATCAGGTCGTCGACAACTCATCAAGCTCAAGCCAGCCAGGATAACTCGACAGTGGAGCAGAGAGTCCACCAGCTCCCTCTGTGCCTGGCCAGGTATTCAGCACCATCACCACGGCCGTGACTAATCACCACCGGGGCCGGCACGACCTATAACTGCAGCAACCGGCTTTGCGATGGTGTCGCATCAAGCATGAGTCTGCGTGGCTGCGCCCTTCCTGGCCTCGCTGGCTTCCAAACGGCCCTCTGCAAAATCACCAGCCAGGCGCTGCAAGCGCCGTAGCGAAGCCTCTCGCAAGGGTCGATTGCACCACAAACTGCGCATCTGCTGCCCCACCCCGGCATGCGCTGGCAGCACACCTCGCGAGAGGCCACCGCGTCTACAATCTCCCGCGAAGGTGCTTGAGCCTTGGCTCCGCCGAGACCTTGTAACACCTCAGACCTCCACTGAAAATACTGAGCTGGGACACTACGTAAGACACAGAAGCGCAGGAAGCCCCAGCACTGAGGCCACGCACTTGTCGGCGCGGTCGGCTCATGCAACGCGCCAGTGGCCCAGCACGCACATCCCGCCTGCGCGCATGGCCGTAAGGTCTGGTAGCTTTGTGCCTCTGAGGGGGCATCACCATCACCATCCTCATCCTCATCCTCTTTAATCTGCTCATGCTCATCCCCATCGTCGACCTCATCATTCTCGCCTTCGTCGCTACCGTCATTCTCGTTTGTGATTGGGGTGGTGGCGGTGGCGGCAGCGGCGGCGGTGGTGGTGGTGGTGGTGGCGGCGGTGGTGGTGGTGGCGGTGGCGGCTGCACCGGTCAAAGGTGAAATGAGGCTGGTAGAGACGCGAATACCGATGATGGCGATGATGATGAGGAGGAGGAGGACGACGAGGACGAGGAGGACTACGATGATGAGGATGATGAGGCTGAGGCTGCTTTTGCGGAGTTGCGGGGGGTGGGTCAATTGCTTCTTATATTACACTGCCTGCATATGGCACCAGCCCAGAAGCCCAAATCTTAACCAACCGCCAACCTTGAATACCTTGACATCTCTTAGGTACAGGTTTGAAAAACCCATGGCCCTGGATGCTGCTGCGAAGCACCAGCGAGAAAAAACACGGTCTCGCTCCAAGCAACTGAGCTTTTTGTCCTCTCGCTTTATTCACTAGTATAGCGGGAGCGAATGCGCCGCCAGAATGGAGAAACTCGGGTTGGCTGCACGTCCAAACTTCTGAATTGCCACGAATTCTACCACCATTGTCACAGAACACCCAGCAAACGGCAGCAGAGTTCAGTAAGTCTGCAACCTCCAAAAGGAATCGCAACGGCCTTGCTCTTGTCACCATGAGAACCCCTCTCAACAAACCAGCCCACAGCTCCTCTACACTGTCCCACAATCCACATCAGTCTGCAATGTCAGTGCAACACCGGTAGCCATCGGATCCTCCATTTGTGGCAAGCGGAAAACGCCGAAGAGTTGCCGCAGTAGTTTGCGAAGCTTTCCGTCGTGCGGAAAGGAAGGGGCCATGTGGCCGAAGGTCGAATTTCGAGGAAGAGAGGCGGCTGCTTTGTGGAAGCATCCACTCTCAGAGCCACTGCAAGTGCAGCTCCGCAGCAGATTCCTCGACAGGCTGTACATCATGCACTAAGTAACTACTGTCTTCGCGCACATCCGTGAGACGATCCTCGGATTCGCCGCCATCACGCTGTCGACCTCGGCTCCACTCATGCAACTCGAAATAATGGACCTGTTCCGTCGCTGTCTGCCTGGATGGCAATGACGACGATGAAAAGAACGATGACGACGACGACAGTGGAAAAGGACAACGACGGGGCGGAGGACGATCATCATTACCATGGTCACATAACTCATGATGCTGATCCCTCTATGACTAGTCGCGTTCTGCTCGGTACTGACTGTCACTGTGTTCTAGTTGTTCTCAACACACTGCTTATGACTCTAGATGTTATTCCTCCTATGCAGCATAAGAGGAATAGCAACAGCAGTAAGACTTACGCTTCATATATCGTGCATTTTGTATTCGGACCATATAAGTCCTGATCATTGCTGTTCAGGTTACTATACATGCTAGTGCACTTTTTCTTTGCCGAAGCCTTGCTCGGTGACTCGTTCATCTCTAGTAACACACCCGATCCCTGGCTGCCTCACTGAGTCACATCTTCACTTCTACAGCAGCTTCACTGAGAATGCATGTGCGCGACCGAGAAGCCGTGCTGCTCAGCGCACCTCCATGAGAAACTCCTCGAATCAACGTGGAACTGAACTGGAGCAGCCCGGAGAAAGTGCAGGTGCGTATACAGCACATTGCTGCATTCTCTAGTATACTGGTGTAAATTTGCATGCTATGCATAATATAGTACATACAAGTACACGAGCCTCCCTCGAAGGAGAAGCCCTGGCCACACTCCAACACAAGAGCCAAGGGCCTCATCATTTCCTGGAACCACCTAAACACACTATAGCATTTTCTACTAAGTTTTGTATCATAGTCTCTTTAATTAGTAGAAATCAGAATAAATAGTAGCATACGATCCTGTGTCCTAGTATATCATAGTGTACAATGCTCTCTCCAACGGGCTACTCGGAGGCTGCTTGACGAGCTCGATGAAGGCACGCTCTGCGGGGAAGGCCGGGCCGTTGCCTCACGGAAAATAGCATATCACGTCATGCAATATATAAGTATAACTCAACATAATACAATATAGTACAACGCAATATGCTATAGTATTGTCTGTACTACATGCTTTCTACCAGGGCCTTGTTTCTCACCATCTTTTACTCATCCCTGGAGCCACCTGCTTGCCTTTGCACGTGCAAAGCCTTGACATTAGTACTGGTACTACAAGCAGTCTCCTCACGGACCAGGCTAGGTTGTTGTTGTTTCTGTTATTTTCTCTCTTGTTTGGCATATTCTCGCACCTCCTACTCTTGGTATTTAGCATCCTTTTGTCTTTTTGTCTTCACCATCATGACCGGCATCACCCTGACTACACTTGCAAGCACTATCTCTGTCTTTGCTATCCCTGATACCCATACCAGCTACAACGTACAAGCTTTGCCACAGTCCTTCGGACATTGCTTCAGTATTGGCCTTAGCACTTGTATTTGTGATTGTTGTTGGCAGCTCTACTTTTGATGGATCCTCACCCAGGCGAGCACGGGATTAAACCCTTGTGGCCCTGGCTACTACAGAAGCTTGCTCATTGGCATTGCTAACAGTTGCAGCCAGTATGTTGGTGTTGAAAGTGTCATTCTTAACACGGTGAGTCTTTGTCATGGCGACTACGGTTGCTTCTTGTTGTTGCTCTTCCTTCGATGACATGCCATGATTATTGTGATTGTGCTATCGTTATGATGCTAGCAGATCTCACGAGAGTTTGGAGCATCGATCTCCTGCTATCACAAAAATCTGTACTTCTTCCTGCTCCTGCCCCGATTGGCGTGACAACAAGCATTCACACCACAGGCCCCTGTACTACCATTGCGCTTACTAGATTACTGTGACAGTGAACCCGTACTAGGCTTATGAGTGCAATGACCTTTCCCATCACCCGGTGCCACTAAAGTCAATATTTCTTTCGATAGTAGTGATATTAATCAAATGTCCATCACCTGTGAGCAGTCGCCACAAGACTCGTCGCGGCCAATCTTCAGCAAGCACAACAGCAGCAGCCACATGATCATCAAGGGAACATCACTAGTTCGTATAGATACCGGTGCTGATGAGCATCGAAAACATTACTTGATAGATGCCGTTTCTTTGAGCTTGGATTAGTGAGGCTGGCTTCTTGTAGTTGTGGTTATTGTAGTTGTTGTTGCTGCTCCTCCTCTCTTCTGCCACTCTTCTTCGTTCATACGCACTGGCGAAGCTACCGCTTACTTGCATGGTAATGGTCATCAAGTTTGCGGAACTTGCGACAATTGTTGCAACCACTCCCGTCTTGTAGCCCCACTAGGTTGCAGCTTGCTTCCTCTTCCTCGTCCACTTCGGGCTCCCGCCTGCAGTTCTTGCCTCGCTGCCTCCACACGTCGTGCTGCGGCGCGGGTCATGGCCGGCTCCTGGAGAGTAAAAGCGACGAAAGATATTAACTTGAAGGGATGGGCCCTTCTTGGGTTTGGGGCTTGGGGCGTTTGGGAGCTTCAGAGCTGAGGAAGCGGAGTTGGGGGGTGAGGGCATAAAGATATAGTCTCCATAGCGCTCAAAACGCTAATCCCTAAATCCTGAGGCTCGACCCCTAAAACCCTACTCAACCCTACTAAACCCTACTAAACCCTCAACCCCAAACCCTGAAAGCCTGAAACACTCCGTCTTAGCCACAGGCATTTCCGAGCTCAGAGCCCAGCTGGGCCCTGGCAGCTTGGACCTGGAAAGGCTGTCAGTACGAAAGTATGATGGAACAAATGGTATATAATATCTAACGAATAGTATGTAGCATATAGTATATAGTATGTGTATGTATATATATATATATAACTTATCATATTTTTGGGCTTTCAGGTCTTAGATTTGAGGAACTCATGGGGACATGTAGAGCTGGGACCTTTATATAGAGAAACAGGCCTAGGGCTGAGGAATCAGGGAGGCGGCTTTCTCAGGCTCGCAATTCGACGAGGCGTCGGGTTGGAAGCAAGGAGAGAGCAGCGATGATGATGATGATCCTGATGATATGTTTGTCAGCCTTGAACTGCTTCTGTGTCAAGCTGTAAGCGCAAAATGTTACAAAAGATCTCATGTTTGCCCATAATGTGCAACTGAAAGCCACCCTCAGCTCTGCCGCAGCATTGGCCGCCACAGCCCGATTAGCCTGAACGGAAGAAAGGCCACAACACGTTCTGGAGCTGTTGTCGGACCGATACTGCTTTTGCGGCAAGAGGGGATGTGTCAATGAAAGCGCGTCCAGGACTAGAAGCCAGACCTTCAAAGACTGCTGCAGATCCCAGCACTGCACAGAGGAGCTGTATAAGCCCTGAGAGCTTCAAGGCCCGATGCCTCACCGCCGCTGAACCGCTGCCTGGCGAGCTGCGGACTGCCGAACAACACAGAGCAACTGGAAAGACGATGCTGCGAAAAAGACCTAAGACCCAGCTGGGAAAGTGGCAATCTGATTCTGTTTCACCCGAACACCGGACACCACAATCCGAACCGAAGACTCGACGAACCGGGATCTGCGCACGGTTCAAGAGAAACAGATTTCCGACAGCCGGTCATCCTACCGGTAATCTCCTGATCGTGGGACCAATCCCTAAACCCTCAACCCCGAAGCTCCAACAACGAGTGTAGCAGTAGTCGTTCCACTACCACGACCACATGAAATCCTGAACTCTAAACCCTAGCCCCTAAACTTTTGGGTTTACAATGGTGGGCCCCCATCTCAGCTCTCCAAGTGGTGTTGGGGCTGCTTTCGTTGCCTTGTTCCTGAGTAGCCTCTTTATGATGAGGGTACCCTTTTTCCTACTCTTCTGTTTTAGTAAGGGAGCCCTAAAACAAAAAGGGCAAAAGGGTACCACTCAGGGACCT